TTTTGTGCTCTGTGCAATCTTTGCTCCGACCCTGTCTTGTCTCGAGTTTTTGGCTGTGCAGATACCTTGCCAGTTTTGTTTTCATCTTTTAGTTTTTGTTTTTTCCCTCTCCCTCCTGCTTCCAGGCAGCGTTTAACCTCCTCCAGCTCAGCAGTTACCCAGCAGGGCATTCTCTTGGGCCAGCATGCCTCCCAGCTAACATCCACATCCCAGGAGGTCGAGTTCCTAAATGCTCAGTTGTCTGATCTGACTGCCCAGCTCCATGAACTTCGCAGTGAGACTTCAGCTAATAGAACAGAGGACACCGCTGGCTTTTCCTCTCTCCGTCATGACCCTGAGCCTCATGCTAACAACCCACCTCCCTATGACGGGAACCCCAACTCCTACAGAGCCTTCCTGTCTCAGTGCACCCTGGTCTTTGCTCTTCAGCCTCGCCGGTACGCCCAGGAGGAGACTAAAGTGGCTTATGTTTTAACCCTCCTAACAGGCAGGGCCCGTGACTGGGGAACGTCTGTGTGGGAGGCCTGGGCTCCCTTTTGTGCTTCTTTTGAGGACTTTCGGCAGGAGATGGTCAAGTTATTTGATCGTTCTGCTCGGGGTGATGAGGCGGCAGCCCAGCTGGCACGGCTACGTCAAGGAGGCCGTTCAGTGACTGAGTTCGCCATTGAGTTCAAGAACTTAACAGCGGCCTGTGACTGGAATGAGGGGTCTTGTAGAGCTGTATTCCGTGCTGGACTGGATGAGGAGATCCAAGATGAGATTGCTTCCTATGAGCTTCCACACGGCTTTGATGATCTTGGTGACTTGGCCCTCCATGTGGAGAGTCGCCTTCACCTTCGTTGCCAACGATCGACTGCTCGTACCTCTTGGAGGATGGGAGAAATGACCAGTGACTACATCTCTGTCTTGCCTCCGCCTTCTTCTGCTGACCCTGAACCTATGCAGGTGGGACGCCTGTGTCTCACTTCTCAGCAGAAACAAGAGAGACTCACCCGGGGCTTATGCTTCTACTGTGGGAAGGCCGGACACTTTGTCAGCAAATGCCTGCTAAAAGGCAGGGCTCATCAGTAGCCAGGGGGATCCTGGTGGGCGCATCTCCCCTTAATTTCCCCCACTCTTCCCACACCCTTCTTCCTCTGAGTGTTCAGTTTGGAGGTTCCAGTCACTCCTGTTCGGCCCTGGTGGATTCGGGGGCTGGTGGTAATTTCATGGACACCGGCCTGGCTGAGAAGTGCGGAATCCCTGCCATCCCCCTCTCTACTTCTACTATCTCTGTTTGGCCTCTTGATGATTCTCCTATCACCACCATCACTCACCTCACCCCCCCTGTAAGTCTTATTGTCTCTGGCAATCACCATGAGATAACCGAGCTGTACCTTCTAGATTCCCTGAGTGCCCCAGTGGTTCTAGGGCACCCGTGGTTGGTGCAGCATGGTCCTCACGTGGATTGGGCTAGAAATTTAGTTTTGTCTTGGAAACAGTCTTGTTTGGGTTCTGCCTCTTTTCCTGGCGCTGTGTTTCCTGTTGTGCAGGTGGAGGAGGCTGATCTGCCCAGGGTTTCCGGAGGAGTACCGTGATCTTCGGCAGGTTTTCATCAAGTTCCGGGCCATGTCCCTGCCTCCTCACCGGTAGTATGATTGTGCCATCAACCTCCTCCCAGGCACCTTCTCCGACCAAGGGTTACTTATATTCCGTCTGGTCCAGAAAGAGAGGCTATGGACAAATATATTCAAGAGTACCTAGATGCCGGTCTCGTCCATCCTTCCTCATCTCCAGCTGGTGCAGGATTCTTCTTCATTGAGGTACACACTCAACACGTACGTCAGGTGCTACAATGGCTGCTGGAGAACCAGCTGTATGTTAAAGTGGAGAAGTGCGTTTTCCACTCCAAGTCAGTTCCATTCCTGGGCTATATCATTTCAGCGGAGGGAATCAAAGCAGATCCCACTAAGGTAAGGGCCGTAGCCGAGAGGCCACCTCCAGACTCACGCAAGGCTCTGCAGCGGTTTCTGGGATTTGCCAACTTCTACCGGCGCTTCATCCGAAACTTTAGTCAGGTTGACCTTGACAGCCCTTGACAGCTCTTACCTCTACTAAGGTACCGTTTAGGTGGAATTCGAAAGCTCAGGGGGCCTTTGATGACCTCAAGTCCTGATTCATTTCTGCTCCTGCTTTTTCGTTTTCAGACCCTGATAGTCAGTTTATTGTGGAGGTGGATGCTTCCGAGATTGGAGTAGGTGCGGTCCTTTCTCAGCAGTCCCCTAGAGATGGGAAGGTACATCCCTGTGCCTACTACTCTCACCGCCTGAGCCCAGCAGAACGGAATTATGACGTAGGGAATTGGGAGCTGTTGGCAGTCAGGGTGGCCTTGGGTGAGTGGCGTCACTGGTTGGAGGGGTCAGCACAGCCCTTCTTGGTCTGGATGGACCATAAGAATTTGGAATATATCCGTTCGGCCAAGATGTTGAGTTCACGCCAAGCCCGATGGGCACTCTTCTTTGGCTGGTTCAACTTCTCTCTCTCGTATCGTCCAGGCTCCAAAAATGTAAAACCCGATGCCCTCTCCCGTCTTTTCAGGGATACGGGGAGGATTGGGGGATTGGGGCATCGGTTAAAACCATTATCCCTAAAGAAATTGTGGTGGGGTCCCTCTCCTGGGATGTGGAGAGGAGAGTACTGGAGGCCATACGAGAGAGAGAGGTGCCAAGAGGGTGCCCAGAGGGTAGACTTTTTGTGCCGGCTGTGTTGTGCCCTGAAGTCCTCCAGTGGGGGCATTTATCTAAGTCAGTCTGTCATCCAGGGGTTCGGAGATCACTGGCCACCATCCACCAGTGATTCTGGTGGCCATCCATGGTCCAGGATGTCAGGCAGTTTGTGTTTGCCTGCTCGGTTTGCGCCCAGAACAAGAGATCTAATCAGCCTCCAGTTGGTCTGCTTCACCCTTTGCCCATCCCCTCCCGCCCCTGGTCACACATAGCCCATGACTTTGTCACTGGTCTTCCGCCATCGAGGGGTAACACTGTAGTATTGATGATGGTGGACCACTTCTCTAAGGCAGCCCATTTCATCCCCCTTCCCAAATTGCCTTCAGCCAAGGAGACTGCTCAAGTGGTGGTTGATCACATCTTCCGGATTCATGGCCTTCCAGTGGATGTGGTCTCCGATAGGGGGCCAAAGTTTGTCTCCCGGTTCTGGAAAGAGTTCTGTCTGGCAGATCGGGGCCTCTATGAGTCTGTCGTCAGGTTTTCACCCTCAGACCAATGGACAGTCTGAGTGGGCAAACCAGGACCTGGAACAAGTTGTCCGCTGCCTGACGTCCCATAATCTGAGTTCTTGGAGCCAACAGTTATCCTGGATTGTGTATGCCCACAACTCCTTGCCAGTGGCTGCCACAGGTATGTCCCCATTTCAATGCTCCATTGGTTTTCAACCTCCTATGTTCCCCTCACAGACGCCTGATGCTGCTGTTCTGTCAGCCTTAGCCTTTGTCTGCTGGTGTCGCCGCACCTGGAAGAAGGCTGAGGAAGCCTTGGCTCTGGTTTTCAAACGAACTAAAGCAGCGGCTGACCGTCACTGAATTCCTGCTCCTCGCTACGTATGTGGTCAGAGAGTATGGCTGTCAACCAAGGACCTTCCTCTCCGGGTGGCCTCTCGCAAGTTAGCCCCCAGGTTCATGGGGCCATATCAGATCACCAAAGTGTTGAGTCCAGTGGTGGTAAAGCTCAAATTACCTTCCACACTTGGTTGGGTACACCTAGTCTTTCATGTTTCTCGGGTTAAGCCTGTGTTTAATTCTCGCCTTAACTCATCTGCTTCTGCCCCTACCCCTCCCCATCTAGTGGATGGTTCCCCAGCCTTCACTGTAAGAAGGTTGCTGGATGTCAGACGTTGAGGTCGGGGATTTCAGTATCTTGTGGACTGGGAGAGATACGGTCCGGAGGAGGTGGAGTTGGGTCCCGGCTCGGGATATTCTGGATCGGTCGCTGATCGAGGACTTCTACCGGCAGTGTGGAAGGTCCTTCCCTGGAGTGCCAGGGGACACTCCTGATGAGGGGAGTAATTTCACACCCCCGGGCTGATCTGTCTGTTCTTCCCTTATTTCGGTTGTGTGTTGTTGTGTTTACACTTAACATGTGCTTCTGTGTCATCGTGGTGTCCGTCCCTGCCCTCTTGTTGTTCCATTAATTATCTTATTATTGGTCCCCGCCATCACCTGCTCTGCATTATGTTAATTACTCCTTCCCTATTTAGCCTCCTTATGTATGCCGTCTTGTGTCAGCTCATTGTTTTGTGCTCTGTGCAATTTTTGCTCCGACCCCGTCTTGTCTCGAGTTTTTGGCTGTGCTGATACCTTGCCAGTTTTGTTTTCATCTTTTAGTTTTAGTTTTTTCCCTCTCCCTCCTGCTTCCAGGCAGCGTTTAACCTCCTCCAGCTCTACCCACGTTCGCGATCTCCGATCGCTGTTTCCTCTGTCTCAGCTCTTCTTTGCCTCCCCGCCAGTGCGCCACCAGCTCCCCGCCTCTCTGTCAGTTTGTCACGGTCTTGCTTTGATGGATCTTCCCTTTGGAATTCATCGTCCAGGAGGCACTATTGGATCTGTGCCTGGCTGCTCTGTGCCTGGATTGTTTTTTGTGTTTTCTTTTTTGTTTTTTGAACTTCAAGACTGTTTAATTGACTTTTGGCACCTGCAAACTGAGTCCACGTCTCGCAATGACATTATTAGGAAAAATTACCATGTGAATTTGGAGTTTCCCTGCATGTTAACTTGCTCTGCTAATTAATGGAATAATTCATCCAAAAAGTGAAATATAAAAATACTGTCATAATTTATTCACCTCATATTGTCCCAAACCTGTAAAAAAAATGTTGTAGTACACAAAAGGGCCATTAAGGTCATATTCTTTTCAATATAATGAAAGTGAATGAGGACTAGGGTTGTAAAATTTCAAAGTGATAAAAACAACAGAAATATCTAAACAGCTTTGTGTGAGGAGAAGACTGAAATTTTTAATCACAACAATTTTCGCTTTTGGGTCAATTTATTTTTTAAAATATGTTTAATCACTATCCCTGGACGCACCTCAGTCTGTTTGAGAGCAAAAGCAGAGCCATCTTTCTTAAGGTTTTCCATGATCTCCTCCACACTTCCAGCTGAAAAGAGCCTGAAACAATAGAACAATAACAAAAATTACAGGGCCAGTCCTGCAAACACAAACACGTATGCAAACCCCATCTGTGGAAGTTTTTCTGCATCATGCTCAAGCAGTCAAGCCAAATTAGTCATCAGATTTAATCCTGGGACAGCAAATTAGTGCAGCATCAACTGGCGTTATGTAAGGCTCATATGCAATGCAGAGTCAAACACCACAAAAACAGGTAAACAAGGGGTGTATAGGCTGACGGCAGTTTGTTCCACTAAACGCTCAAACACCCGGAAGAGAAGACATAAAGACAACATCGCACATGCTCTGGTCATGGTGGAATCTGAGTTTTGGAGCATGTCCAATGTTTTAATGATCATTTCAGGTCTTTGATCAACAAACCCAACTTTTTCCAACTTTTCCCTGCACATGGAATTATGGGCCTTTCAGAGTGCCATAAATTGCTGGAAGCTTCCAAGTTTTACCAGCACCTGAAGGCTGGTGTCTTAAGCTTATCCAGTGAAACAGACATAAAGCCAGAAGTGTAACTAATCGGTTTCAAAAGTGTGAAGTCTTCTCATATTAGGCCAACACTGCTCCTGCAGATGATTTAGAGTCGCAGTTTCCACACTGTCACGTCACAGTATGCAAATACACAATTATTGTGCCACTGCCATTCATACTTAAATAATACAGGCTAAATACAATGCTGATTTATACTGTGGCTGGGAGATATAGCTAAAAACATACACTACCATTCAAAAGTTTGTGGTCCTCACAGTTTATTTTTTGGAAGGAAATTAAAATTTATTGTTTATCAAGGATGCATTAAATTGATCAAAAGTTAAGTCAAGTCACTTTTATTTATATAGCTCTTTTAACAATACAGATTGTGTCAAAGTAACTGTACAGCGTTAATTAGGAAAATATTGTGTCAATAATGCAAAATGATAATAGTAAACACTCAATTTTCAGTTAAAGGCAGTTCATCGTTGAATTCAGTGATGTCATCATCCAGCTCAGTTCAGTTCAATGTCAAAAGTAATGGTAAAGACATTTATAATGATACAAAAGGTTTCTATTTCAAATAAATGCTGTTCTTTTGAACTCTATTCATCAAGGACTATTTAAAAAAAACCACTTGTGAAGTAGCAAAGAAGTATTACTTGGTCATATTTTATCAATTTAATGCACTCTTGCTGAATAGTAGTGTCATGGATTTCACAAAAATATTAAGCAGTACAATTGTTAATGATAAAAATGTTTAATAATCATCAAATCGGTATTTTAGAATGATTTCTGAAGGATCGAGCGATGAAAAAAGGTAGTGTACATCAAAAACAAATTGCACAGTATAGGCATAACACTCAATTTTCAGTTAAAGGCAGTTCATCGTTGAATTCAGTGATGTCATCATCCAGCTCAGTTCAGTTCAATGTCAAAAGTAATGGTAAAGACATTTATAATGATACAAAAGGTTTCTATTTCAAATAAATGCTGTTCTTTTGAACTCTATTCATCAAGGACTATTTAAAAAAAACCACTTGTGAAGTAGCAAAGAAGTATTACTTGGTCATATTTTATCAATTTAATGCACTCTTGCTGAATAGTAGTGTCATGGATTTCACAAAAATATTAAGCAGTACAATTGTTAATGATAAAAATGTTTAATAATCATCAAATCGGTATTTTAGAATGATTTCTGAAGGATCGAGCGATGAAAAAAGGTAGTGTACATCAAAAACAAATTGCACAGTATAGGCATTTAAATGACAGATATTTTGTATCAATTAAGTTTTGTCCTCTGTATGCTTTTTCAGTAAACTGAATTATCAACAGTTAACCTACAATTCTGATTATGAATTATTGTGGGTTGTTCCAGAATCTCATGAGAAAGAATTGAAATGCAATGGTGAACCAAATAATAATAAAAAATAAAGTATAAAAATATTCACACTGATGCTTAATTATAAATGTTTGATCATTTTGACACAGTTGTTAAAACAGAAGAAAAACATGTAGTGCACTTACACTGGAAGTCTATAGGGCAAGTGTAATGAATGTTTTAAAGCACATAAATTCTTGTTCTTCAAAAAGGTGTCAATTGTCCTTTTGTAGGGAGTTTGATTGTCAGGCGATCTGAACAATCATAACGCTGAATCCATTTTTGTCCAGCAAACAAACATCAGTGGACCTGGGGCCTCATGTATAAAACTTTATGTAGAGTTCATCCTAAATGTGTGCGTACGCACAAGAGCTAGATTTTGCGTATGTACAAAAGTTTTCAGATTTATAAAGCCATGCGTACGCCAGAACCTGCGAAAAATTCCCTTTGTAATATCCAGTCAGCGGAAGATTGTGCGTACATCCATCTCCACCCCGTCTCCTCCCCGAAATAGCCATATATGGAGCTTACAACGCCTAGGTTAAATATGTATAATGTAATCTGCATATCATTTCCATGCATATTCCATCCACGTGACACCATGTTTAACGCAGGTAAGGGTACAATACGTTAGGAAAATATGAGATATGTACTATAAATGCTTGTTGAGACATCACATTGCTATTCAAATTTATGCAATTTTGCCTATAAAGTAAACATATATTTTAGAATGTTAGCCTATATTTGAATGGAGATAGGCCTTATTTTTTTGCAGTGTAAATAACTGCTGACTCACCGCGTCAATAAAAAAGCATTTTGAAAATAAAACGTGCATATCTTACAGCTAATGGACTGTTTGATCAACGAGTGCATCCTTATGTCTGTCGTTACTCTCTATGTTCTAAAGCCATCAGACAAATCAAGTTCACATCAGTGATAATTATTCACGCAAATGTATTTTCTCAGAACATGAATTTTGCTATTTAGAACACAATTTAAAGCAGAATTGTCATGCACCAAGCAATTCTCACTGTGATTAAAAGATTAAATCGCATACCACAGGAAAATGGTTTGAAAGCAGCACATACACTACAAATATTTCTGTTTAAATTCATATAAAAATTTTGTAATTTCTAGATAATAATTTCATGAAATTTCAGTGCTTAACTTCATTATTAAGAGTGTCATATCTAATCTAAATGTGTATGTCAAATGTAAAGCAGACTTTAAAATCATTCTGTTTGCTTCATTATTTCGCTCACAGTAAAAGAGTGCGTACGCATGGTCTAGAGCAGGGGTAGGCGAGTTCGGTCCTAGAGAGCCGCAGTCCTGCAGAGTTCAGCTCCAACCCTAATCAAACACACCTGAACAAGCTAATCAATGTCTTCAGGATTACTAAGGCTATAGGCAGGTAGGTTTTTTTTCAGGGTTGGAGCTGAACTCTGCAGGACTGCGGCTCTCTAGCACCGAACTTGCCTACCCCTGGTCTAGAGTGTCCGTACGGTGCGCACATATTTACGCCTAGTTTATTTTTTTATAAATCCCGATATGTGCGTGGAAAATTGCGTACGCACATTTCCATGCCCATTTTGTGCGTACGCAACGTTTATTCATCAGGCCCCTGAACTTGAAAAATAGTGTGTAATGATGTCTTTCCGCTGTCGAAAACAAGATACCTTTTGATGCTTATTTCATGTTATAACTAGTAAAGAGGAAGAGATGATCGGTTCACGTGCTGCTTGAACTGAGGCGCTAAAGCGATCTGTAATGACACATAAAAGAGCCACAAAACAGCATTTATTGTTTGAATTTCTTTAAAAAAATAACAATTTGAAAGCTGCTACTTTGTTTCATATATGTGACCCTGGACCACAAAACCAGTCTTAACTCGCTTGGGTATATTTTTAGCAATAGCCAAAAAAACATTGTATGGTCAAAATTATAAATTTTTCTTTTATGCCAAAAATCATGTTCCATGAAGATATTTTGTAATATTTTATTTCCTACCATAAATATATCAAAACTTAATTATTGATTAGTAATATGCATTGATAAGAACTTAATTTGGACAACTTTAAAGGCGATTTTCTCAGTATTTTGATTTTTTTGCACCCTCAGATTACAGATTTTCAAATAGCTGTATCTCGGTCAAATATTGTCCTATCCTAACAACCATACATTAATGTAAAGCTTATTTATTCAGCTTTCAGATGTACAAATTGACTTTCAAAAAATTTACCCTTATGGCTGGTTTTGTGGTCCAGGGTCTCATATGAAGTAATCTGCTCTTTCTTATCTGTCGGCACATTGTCAGTTTCCTCTTTGCTCCACGATGTGTTTTGTATCATGGATGTATCATGATGTGTGGCGTGAGAGCGACATGGCTTGTCAGACGTAGCAACAGTAACGAAGGGGGACAGGTCTATGTGAAGGAATTGACTTCAGCAATCATCACTAATAACCATACATGGCCATTTCAAAAGCAATATAAGACTGAAAATTATACTTAAAATCTAACACCTAACCAAAGGTTAGTTTTCCATTTCAAGGGAGAGCTTTAGATTCATTCTATTCTGTGTTAGGCATATGACAATAAAGCAAGGAGAGAAGAGCGTTTAGGTTTACCTGTCAATGGCCTCTGTCTGTTCTTGCAGTACGAAAGGTTTCTCAGCATCCAGACTGCTCTGAGGAGACATAACAGCAGTCTGTGTTTAAACACCAGCTGAAGCACATATACAGGGCTATATTTCAACCCAGACAGCTACAATCCTCAGCTGTCTGTGTGTGAGTATGTGTGAGGCCATTTTTGTCCTGTCAGACACCATGGCCGTGTCTGAAGCTGAAGAATAAGTGTAAGAACCATCTTCCGAAAACATTCAAAACTTTTGTCTGGTAGTGTCTGTGTGTGTGTGTTTATATATATATACATACCGGTGCATCTCAAAGAATTAGAATATCGTGAAAAAGTTATTATTTTTTTTTACTTATTTCAAAAAGTGAAACTTTCATATATTCTAGATTTATTACATGTAAAGTAAAACATTTCAAAAGTTTTTTTGTTTTAATTTTGATGATTAGAGCTTACAGCTCATGAAAGTCAAAAATCCAGTATCTCAAAATATTAGAATATTTACATTTGAGGTTCATTAAATGACCATCCCTACAGTATAAATTCCGGGTATCTCTTGTTCTTTGAAACCACAATAATGGGGAAGACTGCTGACTTGGCAATGGTCCAGAAGACACTCATTGACACCCTCCACGAGGGTAAGTCACAGAAGGTCATTACTGAATGGGGTGGCTGTTCATAGAGTGCTGTATCAAAGCATACTAAATACCAAGTTGACTGGAAGGAAGAAAATGGGTAGGAAAAGGTGCACAAACAACAGGGATGACCGTAAGCTTGAGAATACTATCAAACAAAGCCATTTAAAACACTTAGGAGAACTTCACAAGGAGTGGACTGAAGCTGCAGTCAGTGCATCAAGAGTCATCACGCTCAGACGCCTTCAAGAAAAGGGCTACCAAGCCACTTCTGAAACAGAAACAATGTCAGAAGCATCTTACCTGGGCTAAGGAGAAAAAGAAAGGACTGTTGCTCAGTGGTCCAAAGTCCAATTTACATTTATCTTTTCAGATAAATGTAAATTTTGCATTTCATTTGGAAATCAAGGTCTGGAGTCTGGAGGAAGACTGGAGAGGCACAGAATCCAAGCTGCTTGAAGTCCAGTGTGAAGTTTACGAAAGTCAGTGCTGATTTGGGGTGCCGTGCCAATTTCTTCGATTTCAAAGAAATCTTCTGCGATTTTTTTTTCGTAACTTGTCAGTGAACTACGGCTATGTGTAGTAAATTCTGCTCCATCTGAAAGCATGTGATGATGATTTCCTGCTGATTACAGAACTGGCTTTACTAACAAAATGTGCATGACAATCGCATTTGATTAATCGTGCAGCCCTACTACAGGCTTTAAAGTGCAACCTTGATGAACAAAGCTGATATGTGTATGGTTTAGTGACAGCTGCTGTAGATAAAACTCTCTTTGAAGCAGGATCATTGCCAGACATAAATAACATCATTAGTGCTGTAGCGCCTGCGTAGGATCATGCATGAGCGTTGGACTGTTTATGGCTTAAAAGACCCTTTTAGCCTTTTGACATTTGCATATAAATTACAGTTCTGGTCAGAGATGTTACGTTGTATAGGGGTTTTAAATTGCCAAATGGTTCTTCGCCGTCAAAGAAGATTAGAACCAGCCCCCACGGGCTATCATAATGCAAAGACTACCTCTAAATAATTCAGTTTTTTTTTTCAATTTTAAATTAGGCTAATATCAAGACTTGTTGATATTAAAAGAGAATAAAATAAAATAAATGCTCAAAAGAGGTCTGGGAAGGGTCTGTGAAAGCAGTTTGTCCAAAGCATGAAAGCCACGTGTTATCAGTCCCTCCTTCCCAAGGATTTCTGGAAACCTTTGTGACGTAAAGACTGTATGAGTCACAATAATCTTTACTTAGACACTCCTGATCAGCACACACAACTTCACAGCATTAAGTACCAACGGCCATAAACCCATACCATAGTCATAATGATCATAAAGTCATAATGAGTATAATGAATATAGTAAAACACAGGAGAGGACTTTGAGCGTTTGGACGGTCTTGGGAATACTCTCACTGAAACGAACTTCATGTTCATTATAGCTCGCTGAAACCAGGGTCCATAGGTTCGTGTCACATTTTTCTAAACTATATAATAATAGTAATAACAATAAAAATAACAACAAAGATATAATTATTATACAATTATAAAATTTTTTATAATATTTATATATTATGTAATTTATATATTAGGGCTGTGCAATATATCGAAATTATCGAAATATCGCAAATGTACATATCGCAATATGCATATTGCTACAGCTTGCAATATTTGGGGCCATGAACAAAAGACAAAGAGAAAATTATTCACTGCTCTTACCTAAATAACTTTTGTAGCTTAAATAAGAATCAGTGCATATTGAATTCAAAGAGGAATGATTACACTAATGTTAAAATTACATTTTTATGTAATGCTCGAGTAAAACATACCGTTCACTTTCAGAAGTTGCTGTAAGGGTGTTTTCTTATTAGAATCAGAATGAGCTTTATTCACCACTTAAGTGTGCGCAAACACAAGGAATTTGTTGTGGTTTTACAGGAACACTTGGTACATACATACATACAAATAACCATATATATATGACACAAGATAGTTATAGAAGTTCACAGAACTGACTCAGCAACAGCTGAGTAAAACTGTTTCATTTGAGCATGTGGCACTTTAAGCATTATCGTATCGCATATCGAATATCGCATTATTGAATGAGTTATCGCATATCACATTTTTCTTCAATATCACACAGGCCTATTATATATTATTACATTTTTCGTAACACTTTATTTTAAGGTGTCCTTTCACACATATTACATGTACTTGCTATTATAATAACAATTAACCCTAATCCTACCCTAACCATATAGTAAGTACATGTAGTTAATTAATATTACTCAGTACTTAAATGTGTAATTACACTGTAACAGTGACACCTTAAAATAAAGTGTAAACATATATATATATATATATATATATATATATATATATATATATATACACAGTGGTGTGTGTTTGATGATCTGAAACATTAAAGTGTGACAAACATGCAAAAAAAATAAGAAATCAGGAAGGGGGCCAACACTTTTTCACACCCCTGTATATATATGTATATAACATTATTACATTATAATAACATTATTGTTATACACTATTGTTCAAAAGTTTGGGTCTGTAACATTGTTTTTAAAATAAGTATTTTTTGCTCATCAAAATCAAGTAGATTTTTCAATACAGTAAATGTTATTGTGAATATTGTGAAATATTACTACAATTTAAAATAACTGTTCTTTTTCATATATTTTCAAATGTGATTTATTTAGTTGATGGCAAAGCTGAATTTTTAGTAGCAATTTCTGCAGTCTTCAGTCACATGATCTTTCAAAAATCATTATTATATGTTGATTTGGTGCTCAGGAAACATTTCTTATTATTATCAATGTTAAAATAGTTGTGCTGCTTAATATGTTCGAAGAAACCAGGATATCTTTTTTTCAGAATTTTTTGAAGTAGAAATTTTTATAGATGTCTTTATTGCAATTTTTAATGCATCTGTGCTGAAGAAAAGTATTAATAATAATAAAAAAAACTGACCCCCAAAATTTTGAAAGTTATGACTTTTTCTCTAATTGTTTTGTCAATGAGAGGCAATGTCATTTGGACACCAACACTTTTTAACTTTCTTTTGTGTTTCACAGAGGAAGGAAATTCATACAGGTTTGGAAAAACACATGGTGGGTAAATAATGACTTTTTTTTTTGGTGAAATGTTCCTTTTAAGTGAGAAAATCTTCCACGTTTGTGTAAGATTTGTAACTATATAAAGATGCACTGAAAGCAATTACATCAGTGTTGTATACTGTGGCGATGGTGTCAGCTTACACAAGCCCACCACTGTGCAGTGTAACCGCAGACACTCAGGTTGTAAAAGTTTTTTAAAAAGTCACGTCAGTTTTTGCCACATACCTGTTCTTGATAAGAATCCAGCAGTTGGGCCACATCACTGTTAGATGGAGACTTCAGATCAACAAGATCCTTCTCAAGAGATGCAATCTGATAGGAGAGACAAATAGTAAAATTCTCAACATCTCAGGTAGAATCTAGTGGGTCTAAATCAGATACTAAGAGCAGAATAGGGAACGTGTTGTTTACAACAGGAATTTTTACAAGGTGTTTCCTGATGGTAACTGCTGAGACACGGTGAAACACAACATAAAACAGCTCTGATCCAAAACATAGTGTGCTGCTTACCAGGACAGCCTTTTAGTGACCATAAGTGTGCTCCCAACATTGCTTATAAAGGTCACATCAGCTAAAGTTTGCATGTAAAAACAGGTCCACTATCCACAGATACATCCACTGCTCACATGGAAGTTATTTTTAAAAACTTTTAGTGTCATCAGCACAGAAAATGTGCAGAAATCGGCATGAAGTACTTTTTCACCCTTACATGAAACTCCTAATTGCATGGATATTTTCAAATTTTCACAGCATTTTCTCACAGGGATTTGCAAGCCACTATTCTTTCTAACGCTGGTTTTGAATAATATGCATTGTGAGACACACTATACTAACATACTGAATAAAATGCATTACACCAGGATATAAAAGGTAGAATGGTATTTAAAGGGGTCATATGATGCGATTTCAAGTTTTCCTTTCTCTTTGGAGTGTTACAAGCTGCTGAATAGATAAGATACCTAAAGTTGCAAAGACTAAAGTCTCAAACCCAAAGAGATATTCTTTATAAAAGTTAAGACTGGTCCACGCCCTCCTAAAACACCTCATTTAAGCCCGCCCCCACATGTCCACGTCACGATGTGGGAAGATTTGCATAACGCCGCCCAAATGTTCACGCAAAGAAAGAAGGCGTAACTTTATTGTTGCTGCCACCGCCGCTGCCATGTTGTGAAGCCGCTGTGTGTTTCATTGCGAAAACGAAACTACTTTGTTTGGCCTTCTAAAAGAGGACACGACTAGAAATCAGTGGTTAAAGGCTGATTTATACTTCTGCGTCGGACCTATGCCGTAGCTTACGCATTGACGCACACGCATACGCCGTAGGCTGACGTACACCTCTCCAAAAATCTAACAGCTCATCAATTCTACGCAGACCGCAAGCGCTGTGATTGGTCTGCTAGAACCCCTCCCTCCATATGTACTTGAGTTTTGTGTGTGTTTATGTGGACTTTAATATATTTTAATGTTACACCTTCTTATATAAAATAAAACAAAGCAAAGAACAAGTGTCTTATTATTTATTATACTACATAGCATTATACATCAGTAGTTGTCCGCAACAAACAATGTTGATCTGCCGTGGTACAAGTCCTTGTGCAGATTGAAAGAATGCCATCATCTCCTGTTCCGTTGTTGTCTCCTTTTTGTAGTTTTAAATAATTATTTAATGATTTGATATTTCTTTCCCGCCGTCACAGCTATAATGCTTCTCCGACGAGCCACTTCTTCTTCGGCTTTTGCTGTAAATAATAATGTACAGTATGTGGAAAATAATGTGTTTTTTGAACATTAAAGGGGTCATATGATGCTATTTTAAAGATCATTTATTGGTGTATTTGGTGTAACAGAATTATGTTCAATCTTTAATGTTCAAAAACACATTATTTTTCAAATACTGTACATAATTGTAGGTCCTCCACAGGCTCTTAATGGGATTAGTGGGTGATGGCACACAGACACTGTGCATTCACTCAATCAAATACACACACACATACATGCACGTGCACAGACGCTCAACAGATGTGTCACAGACTGTGATTAGCACTACTTCCTGCCACTCTAACAGTTCCGCAGGGAGTCTTTACCCAAGGCTTGCAAAAGCTGAAGGACGCTGTACAACAGGAGGAAATGCTGTAAAGCCCTCTCATTAAGAGTCCAGAATGAATTACAATAGCCGAGGCAGACTTCTGCCTACATGTGTGATAGGGACAAGGGCAAAGTATTCTGATTTATACCGCATCAAGGCTCCAGACATACCATTCACAGGGTGTGATTAGAATGTGGAATGAAAAGAAGCACGAAAAATTTAAAGCATGTGCAATAAAAGCGAGATGCAGCACACATGGATATATTCTGAGAGGATGAAACATTCACTTTGGACCCAAAAATGAAAATTTTGTCTTCATTTTCTCACCTTCATGTCCAAGTATGTATTTTCAGGGTGAGTAAGTGATGACAGAATTGAAAGTTTATGACAAGCTCAGTTTCTCTATAAACATCAGCAGTGGTATAACTGTTAACTGATTTTAGGAAATAAATACTTTAAGTCTGCAGATAAGAATTAGTCAAACGTGAAAGTAAAAAACAATTAAAAGTTGCAAAAGATTTTTATTTCAAATAAAAAGTGTTCTTTTGAACTTTCTATTTCTCAAAGAATCGTAGAGAAAATGTATCACGGTTTTCACAAAAATATTACACAAAGTAATTGTTTTCAACATTCATAATAATATGAAATGTTTCTTATTAAAAAGCAATAATCAGCATATTAGAATAATTTCTTAAAGGGGTCATATGATGTGATTTAAATTTTTCCTTTCTCTCTCGACTCCGCCGCCTCAGCTCACTCTATGGCTTCCCCTCACGCTAGGCCACTGTGTTGTTCTTGTGAAAGCGAAACTACTTTGTTTGATCTTCCAAAAGAGGACACGACTACAAATCAGTGGTTAAGTTGTATTTACCACACTGTTCCAGAACAGTTTAACCCAAATATCCAGATGTGTGCAGCACATTTTATGGAAGACTGTTTACTGATCCTGGGAGAGTAACGTTAGACTACAAGCCGACTGTTCTGACTCACGTAAGTACATTTTCATTTAAAGGATTTGCCACTGATGATTCAAATGTGAGTTTTGGGCAGTGTGAAGTAGCACTTGTTGTTTGTCATTTCTCCGATCACAAATGCAGACAGGGTTTTATGTTTACGCAGCGCGATGCAATGCAACGCAATGCATAAAAAGACAATATAAGTCATTATAATCAGTAAATATGTCCCCACTGGACGCAACAAATGCCTCGTTTATAATGGGTTTTAATGTTTTTGTCTCGTCGCTCCGGCCTGACAGGGCATCAACAGTATGTGAGGGACGTAACATTTCCGTCTCACGCTTGAGGTATTCAGCCAATCACAACGCACTGGATAGCTGGCCAATCACAGCACACCTCGCTTTTCAGACCGATGAGCTTTGTAAAAATCGACGCGTTTCAGAAAGGCGGGGCATAGAGGAGAAACAATAATGTACAGTATGTGGAAAATAATGTTTTTTTTTTTTACTTTAAACCGCATAAACACATTTCATTACACCAAATACACAAAATAATGTTCTTTTTAGCAGCATCATATGACCCCTTTAATGATCATGTGACACTGAAGACTGTGATGGCTGCTGAAAATTCAGCTTTTCTATTTTCCTTTTTAACCAATATTAAAACAGAAAACGGTTGTTTTTAAATTGTTATAATATTTCACAATATTACAAATTTTACTGTAGTTTTGATCAAATAAATGCAGCTTTGGTGAGCATAAATGTTCAAAAACATGTCAAAATCTTACAGATCCCAAATGTTCGGTCATGCTTAAATTTGTTTAAAAATATATGGTCTGAATGTGAATTTTTAGTGCTGAAAGTGTGAAAACTTCTTGTCTTCATTTTGAGGAAAAAAAAAAAAAACTTTTTTTTTTATTTTTTTCTATTTACGTTACAAATTTGGCAATTTGTGCTTGTACTCTGTTTTTATACTTTGTTCTCAAACACAATTAATGTCACTATGAACTGAGCCATCCACCTAGATCAGATGAGAGGTTACGAAATTAAATCTGCATACTGCAGTGCAAGAATCATCTGTTGGCTCCACGGTTGGAACAAGACCCACCCACTTACATTTCAGCAGCAGATTGATCGGATGCTGTCCGCATCGACAGAATTCCTTCCATGAGCAAAATGGAGATTGACGCTGTCTGTGGAGCGTTTTAGCATGCCGCTTATTCAGAGACCACAAGCATCAGACAGGTGCTTCAATCTGCACCATCCCTCAACACTGTTTCCACATAAAACTGACCTGAACAATCTGTTGTGAAAGATTGCTTTGGAGAGGTCTTTGGGCTAGGCAATGTTTTTAGAAGAAAACAGATCACACAGGGGGTTTTTTTAGCTACAAAAATGTGTGCTGTGTCATCTCACACTGATCTGCTTGTACTTTGGCTGGTCATGAGTTGAAAGACTGGACATATCTAATAGTCAAGATGCAAAGTAATATTTGTGAAAAAAAACCTTACTTATAAGTGGACCACAGAAAAAAAATTGATTGTTACTCTGTGATGTTTTTATCAGCTGTTTCAACACTCATTCTGGCGGTACCCATTCACTGCAGAGGATCCATTGGTGAGTTAGTGATGTAATGCTAAATTTCTCCAAATCTCTTTGGATGTAGAAACAAACTCATCTACATCTTGGATGGCCTGAGGGTGAGTACATTTTCAGCAAATATTGGGTGAACTATTCCTTTAAATTTATGTGCCAAAACTACACTTTCTTTTTTGGCAAATGGAATGCTTTACTTTACTTTTCACATCCATATTTTTGGATAAAGTACTATTGATTCCTGTGAAACCAAAGCCATCTTGCATTATTAATGAAAACTCAGATTATAACCCAGTTACAGCCCTCAGGGAGAGAGAGGAACACAGGCTGCCTCTTACCAATGCCCGTCTCAGGCATGGCAAACAGTGTCTTCTCAGTGGCCACACGAAACCGTCCATGAACTGAAAGACCCACGCCCTGCAGAGAGAGAGAAAACAGTACAGATCAATAATTGGGTACAATGTTCACAGACCAGACAGAGAGAGCCATAGAATGAGGGTTCAAGTCTCCACACCCATCCACTGTAAGACACTACAGGACCAGTTCGCCCAAAAATGAAAACTCATTATTCATCCTTATGTTTCAAATCCATATAACTTATATGCTATATTACAAGTCTTCTAAAGACATCCTATAGCTTTCTTTGAGACATAGATATACACTGAAATTCAAAAGTTTGGGGTTTGCTCGATTTTTTTATGTTTTTGAAAAAAGTCTCTAATGCTCACCAAGGCTGCATTTATTTGATCAAAAACACAGTAACATATTAATATTGTGAAATATCATTACAATTTAAAGTAATAGGTTTCTATTTTAATATATTTTAAAATGTAAAGATGGCAAAGCTGAATTTTCCGCAGCCATTACTTAAGTCTTCAGTGTCACATGATCTTTCATTCTAATATGATGGTGCTGAATAAACATTTCTTATGTAGCGTCTGGACCAATCAAACACACAATATATATTTTGTTAGCTATATTTAACAAATACTCTGTAACACCCCTCAGTTAACAAGCCATATGAGGACCTATGAACCCTTCCCCCCAAAATGCGTAACACCCCAGGAAGCCGAACAGGCCCCTGGTTCCATGGCAACCAACGGTGATATCACTGGGTTTATTGGCCAAAAGAATGCAAAGCAGGGAAAATCCCTGCATGTCCCAGGGCAAGAGGCAGTGTAGAAATGGACTTTTCTACTAATTAATTCATAGGAAAACCTTTCTTTGAATGAACACACATGATCCTTCAGGCCATTGGGTATATTATTGTCATCGTGTATTTCCTGAAAGGTCAGCTAAATATCTACAGCGGATCTAAAATATTCATAATTAATTATAACTAGTTTTATATTATTTAATTATATTATGTTGATTCGTTACACTTATTATTATCAATGTTGAAAACAGTTGTGCTGCTTAATATCTCAGTGGAAACTGTGATGTTTTAAAAATGACAGGTTACTATAAATTGTCATATTTGGGAAATGATTTATGTGAAGTTGGCAAAATTCTCCTATTGTGTGAAAAAAGTAAAAGAGCGGACAAAGTTCATTGTGGTGAACCATATGCACAGCATCAGAACATAAGCCTCTCCCTAAAGCACTGTTGCCATAGTGAAGCACCAACACCACGTTTGATGATTTAGCAGTGTTTGAGACCCTAAATCACGACAGCATCGCCTAAGCAGCACACACAGGAATGGAATAACAAACAGTCACTGATGTATGGCACACCGTATTTTTATGTGCTCTGAAACTTCACAGCTTGTTCACAAACTGTGTAGGATTAGAAACAAATGGTGCACGTGGCACCACAACAACACAGCAACCTTAGCAGACAGCTGATACACTAGGTGCATTACAGCTGAATGGTTATCAGGTCTTTTAGCACTAATAACTGACCGATTAATTCTGAAATGATCAATATTGGCCAAATATCAATCTAATATGCTGATTTGGTGCTGAAAAACATTCATTATTATTTTCAATTTTGAAAACAGTTGTGCTGCTTAATATTTTTGTGGAGACCATGATCATTTTTGAAGGATTCTTCAATAAAAATGTCAAAAGAACAGCATTTATTTGAAATAGAAATCTTTTGTAATATTTAAAATGTCTTTATTTTGACTTTTGATCAGCTGAATACATCCTTGCTGAATAATATTATTAATTTGAACGATAATAGCATTATATAAAACATTAGCCACCTTGCTCTTTAGATAAATTATCCTCAAAAAATTTGAAACAAAAACATCAGGAAGCGCAAAATTTGAAAACTTTTCCGTTACACAAAATAACATGGCCAGAAGTCTACAACTTTTTCCATTGTTGCCACTGAAAAACTCAACCTGATTCTGTCATAAAAAAGATGAGTATAAGACAGCATCATTGTCTTAATCTCTTTAGTATATTTAGCTGATGTGACTCCTCATTATCACAGAGCATGACTGACATGGACTCATCTAGTTAAACAAAATACACATCATAAAATCAGTTATTATGAAACCAACTGGGGGCTGTGTTCTCAACGGGCTGCTCATTTAAAGACAATAATCATCTTCTCCTCAGGGATTTGAGAAGCATGGTGTGATCAGAGCAGTACATGTGTCCCCTACATGACAACTCATTAGGGTGATTACGATAAAGTGAGAACAACCATCCAAACTATCACAGAGTCAGAGCAGACTGAGAAAGCAAACTGAATAGTTTGGTAACAGCATTTTCATGTGGCAACGCAAGTATTCTGAGTTAAACGGGAAGCACATGTTGTAGCTGGAGGCATCAAATCATTCGCCTAGAAGCGGCGCAAACTCTCATCGATTCTCCAAAATGTTTGGCTGGAATCAGACCGAAAACCTGCGGACAATGTAGCGCGTATGTTTCCATCAAAAACACAAGCATCTCCTCTTTGGGAGACTAATATGAAACATAAATTCAGTAAAAAATGTTTAAAGACCATCTTTAATCTCGTGGTTTTATAATATGAAAGCGCTCTGGAATGTGTCATTACAGATATCCCCAAAGAAGGCAAACAGCTTTATCAGGTTCTTGGCAAACCACTCAATCTAAAAATGCCAGAGGTGGAAATTTCTAAAAAGTTCCTGTTAACTTAAAATAAAAAAAGTCATGCTTAAACGTACGCAGCCACAGGTAAGATTTTTTTTTCATTTTATTAACATCTAGTTCAAACGTTCATACACCACTGTTCAAAGGTTTGGGGTTTATTTATTTTTAATTAAAACTTTTATTCAACAAGGACGAATTAAGTTTATAAAGATTTCTGTTTTACATAAATGTTGTTGTTTTGAAGCTTCTTTTCATTTATTTTTCTGTATCTCTGTAAAGCTGCTTTGACACAATGTCTTGTATAAAGCACTATAGAAATAAAGGTGACATCAAATAATAAAAAATAAAAAAAATTCACAAAAATAATAAGCTGCACAATTTTCGTCCACATTGAAGAATTCCTTGAGCAGCAAATCAGCGTATTAGAATGATTTATGAAGGATCATGTGACACTGAAGACTGGAGTAATGGCTGCTATAAATTTAGCTTTGATCACAGGAATAAATTACATTTTACAATATATTCACATAGAAAACAGCTATTGTAAATTGTAATAACATTTCAAAATATTAATGTTTTTACTTTACAAATATCATGGGTGCAGCAGGCGCAATGATATTATGCAGTGCCTGAAAATAGTCCCCAGCATGCTCCCTGTGCAAGCAGGTGGTCACGTTGGTTATGTTGACGGAAGTTAGCCTATTTTCAGGCACTGCATAATATCATTGCGCCTGCTGCACCCATGGTACGACAGCAAAGTTTCTTGATTATTACGCCGGAATGAGCGTATAGTTCCTAGCCATATCGGCCTAGAAAATCGCAACTTTTCATTTTTCGTCGGTCTTAGTACACGATATAACTACAGAAGATTCACGTTTTAAATAGGAAAAATATAGAAACTCTTTGGTCATTTTTGAGCGAGATGCTTACGGTCTAATCAGATTCAATGATCTATGCTAAGCTACAGCTAAAAGTGCTACGCCAGACCCGGAGATTGGCTGAATGGATTCGAAAACGGTAAAACTCAACTGTTTAACTCTTGGGGAGTTGGAAAATTAGCCTATTTTCAAAAATAGTGGAGTGTTCCTTTAACTTAAGTATATTATGTATTAATACAAATACCTGCAGAGGGCGCCAACAGCCTGGTGACGTTTCACTTTACAGCGTGATTAAACGATGTTTAAATCCATTTAATTTTGAAATCGGGATGTACAATACATGGCATATTTAGACATAGGTTGATGTATTCTCCTGTTTTAGCAAAGGTTTATAAATGATTTACGTTACAAATCTAGTGAGATAATGCACTGTTTTTGCAGATGAACGTTAAGCAAATTCACGGCATATGCAGAGGAAGCCCTTTTCACACATACAGTCTTTACTGGTAAATTACCGGGAAGTTACCATTAAGAGATCATGTGTGAACAGGAACTTTTCAAAAATCCCGGTAAATTTGTTCAGGCAATCATATCGTTTTATGGAGATGACATGATTACTCTGAGCGGTTTACAAAGCTCTGCTGCTTTCTAATTAGTTATACTATGTAAATATGCGCTAGATGGACATCTTTGACAATTGCACCTCGCAGCTTTTTGTCGCACTTCTCCATTCAACAGGGCTGCGACTCTGCAATTGAATACTATTACGCGCATCTCCCGTTTATAAGAGCAAAAAATTCTGATTGGCTAGTAATGTTATTTTGGTTGAGAGTGAAAGCTGTGCTCCTCTCATACCATTGGCAGGCCGAACTCATGGACTCGAAATCAATCAACAAGATTTTTTTTTAAAGGGGTCATATGATGCAATTTCAAGTTTTCCTTTCCCTTTGGAGTGTTACAAGCTGATTGTGACTATTTTTTTCCGCGGCCAAACGCTGCACGCCGGAGATCCGGCACCGGAGAACTTTAAGCCCCGATTACTGCATCTGTCCTGTGGCTCTGCTTAATTATGATTTACCATATGTTAAGCATCAAGCTACTGAATCACTAACGGCGTGATTTTCATTACATAAACGAGATGGTCAAAATGAACTCGGCAGAGGTCATATGAAAGATCTTTTTTGTGTGTGTTTAATGATTTTATTTAAATCTGGAGTGGATCTGGCCTACTTCGAACTGCTCTTCCCAAATCTGTAACACTGAATTTATTATTATTTGTCATTTATAATTTATTCTTAACAGATGCCCAAGTGTGTGCCGTCACATCCTGCTGCCGATATTCGTTGCAAGGTCCAAAGTAGTTTTGCATGCTGTGACTAGAAATTAACTCAAAATCCCAAAAGACTAAACACAGACAAGCAAAATTAATCAGAATGCAGACTCAGTGGGGTCCAAAAGACCATCGCTATAGTGATCCACAAATGGTGACTAGCTATATAATCACAGCAAACAGAGAACGTTCTTACAAAAGCTGGAAATATGCAGAAGAAAAAAAAAACAGGTCAGGAAGGTATTAAAGGTGCGGCGCAGCCCCCCTCTGACAGGCCTGTGTGAGGGATCAAAGAGATGCTCATAGATCACACTCAGCCACCGACTGATACACTGCAGGTGTGAGATAGGATGTTACGCCTCTCATGAGTGATTGCATATTTCTTCCATTACTAAATGTGTTCCATAAACAGAGATTAAGCTGGACCACTGGAGAAAATCATTCTGATGTTCATGGTGATTTATTGGATTATCTACTACTATTTATATTGATAGGACTATTATGTCTGTTTTACATCTCTAAACAAGGATTCTGGAAAGCTGCTTTAGAATAAGTATGAGAGGAAATCATAGACACTTCAAGGTGTTAAAAGTGGATTAACATTTCTTTATATTATCAATGTTGAAAATGGTTTTTATACAATTTATTTATAAATGTCTTGTCTGTCACGGTTGATCATTTGTAATGATCATTGATGATGTAATTGTGTCCTCCTTGCTGAATCAAAGTATCAATTTATTTCTTACTGACCCCAATCGTTTGAACAGTAGTGTAGATGCAATAACTACAACTGAAGACAACAAATACAATTTAGTATGCAAATAAATACAAGAAAGAGAACCAATAAAAAAAAAGTACCTATGCAAATAATGTTTACAATTTTACTAGCGGTTCAATTTTATATAATCAACCCAGGTCAGCAGGAGATTTTAACGGTTTTATCTTAAATGTATTAAAAATATAAATTTAATAACAGCTACAAATACTTAACATAATGGAGACTGCTAATAAAAGAAATAAACCATCTAAAAATAACAAAAATACAACTATAGCTCATAGTGACCATGTCCCTTAAACTACACACAATACAAATGAGTAAGAAAGCTTTTTTCTATGTAAAAGAAATATAAAAAATATATCCCATTTAACTAACTAGCATACAGGTTTGGAACATGATATTAACATCATAACATAAGTTAACATCATATGTTTTGAGTAAATAATCTCTTCAAGAAATGAATTGCAGAAAAAAGATTAGTTGTGGAATAATACGATGCTGCCTTGCAAACGCTGTAATAACATTATCTGTGATTCTGCAGCTACTGCCCACTTCTTTTTCTCAAATATCTGAGTAAATGGAAAAATCCATTTCTAAACCTTAGAGACATCTGAGGTCAGAATGCGCTCAGTGAACCTGCATGGCCATTCCATTCTTAAATATCAGTTCAGAGTCCTCAGCTGAAACATATCACGCAGCAGCGATGCATCAAACGGCTCAGACCAAAGGATGCACGGCCGAATCACCGCACCTCGACCTTGACAGAATCCCTGATCAATTAAACACCAGGAGCTGACAGATTCACCGCTGTGGCATTGCTCTCCTACTGCCAAAACCCCATGAAACTATGAAGACAGTAATATTTCAACTGCTCTGTTGTGCTGGTAAAAGAGATTTTCAAATATATTTACAGTTAAGCACTAAAGTTTGTACAGATTAATATGTTCATGTAATAGTGAAAGTGTTAGAAGAAACAACTACTGAATATGCTGCTTATGAATACACATGTTTTTTTTTGTTTTTTTAAAAGTAGTTCACCCAAAAATGAAAATTTGCTGAAAATGTACCCACACTTATGGCTTCCAAGATGTAGAAGAGTTTGTTTGACCATCAGAACAGATTACTACATCACTTGCTCACCAGTGGATCCTCAGCAGTGAATGGGTGCCGTCAGAATGAATGTTCAAACAGCTGATAAAAAAAACATAATAATAAAAAAATAATCCACATGACTCCGGTCCATTAATTAATGTTTTATGAAGTGAAAAGCTGCGTGTGTGTAATAAAAGAATCCATCAAGCCTTTTTTTCTTTTTACTTCAAACCAAAGACCAGTCCTCTATTCATAATATTGCTTTCTCCAATGAAAAAGTCATCTCATCTGAATCAGAAATATGCACAGATCAAGCACTGTTTGCAAGCAAAAACAGTTCTAAACAATTATAGACTTTTCCCGTTTTTTTTGGCCAGAAGTGACGGTTTAAAGTTAAAACAGCTTAATGATGGATTTGTTTCTTACAAACATGCAGCTTTTCACTTCACAGGATGTTAACTGATGGACTGGAGACATGTTTTTACTTGTGGATGATTGTGATGTTTTTATCAGCGGTTCGGACTCTCATTCTGACGGCACCCGTTCACTGCAGAGGATCCATTGATGAGCAAGAGAAGTAATGCTAAATTTCTCCAAATCTGTTCTAATTACATCTTGGATGGCCTGAGGGTGAAAAAATATTATATATATATATATATTTTTGAGTAAACTATTCCTTTAAGAATTAGAAGGAATTTTAGGCACCTCTCGATAGTTTTTCCTTTTTCTTTTCATTAAGCAGAATTGTTTGTCATTAATAATTTTGAGTATACATTTTTGAATCCATAATCATTTGTGATGCATCTCTAACGGCAACTGTAATTAATTGTGAAATGAATGACTTTTAGGCCTACATGTAATGTGCAACATGAATATAAATATAAAGTGTTACTCAAACACAAATAGCCTACCAATGGGAGGACACTTGAGACCTGATTCATAAGAAACCCAAAGATTGTGTGCAAGATCAGCTTACTACTGACACCTACTGGATAAAATACACAGTGCAGGACAGAAATTAAGAGGATTAAAAGAGGGGTTTATGATTCATAATGCGTCACAACTTGCTTGCAACTCATATGGTCAAACATGACTGCAAAATATTGGGAATTGCATTAAAAATACATACAGTATAATAATAACTCATGAGTCCATATGTATTAATATTTTCATGCATATGTTTACAAATGAAAACACCTAGACTGTTCATTATGCATGAAGCCAGTGGCAATGAGAGTCCTACTCTTTTTGGACAAATTCAAAGTGTCACAATGAAAAGAATGGTACGGTTATATGTATTGTTTTATATAAAGCAGGACACTTTGTCCTTCATTTATTTGTATATTTTGTAAACACAAGACAAGCTGGCCCACATTGCCTCTGGCCCTTTGGTTCCTTTAATGCCATATTCTGCCAAGCACCATCTGCTGGTGAACTTGTGCAGCAAAATTACAATTTTAGATCAATACTTACTCCTCCCATTGTAATTCCATCAATTAGAGCCACATATGGTTTCTGATATGTACCTAAAAAGAGTTCAAATTAAAAAAAATATTACTAAAATAAATAAATAAATCTGTTCATCAATCCTCAAAAATGGCAACAGAGGTGAGAAAACATACCAATAGTGTTGTTAAGAATATATTCCTCACGGAAGAAGTCTTGAGCGAGAGAATCGCCTGCTTTTCCAGCTTCTGTGACAGCTAGGAAAATATTTTTTTGCATTTCAGTGTGAATGCCAGATCTGTTTGACTGCATTATCAATGCATAGATCCATTTAAGAGTGAATGAAAAACTCAAAACTGTATGATTATCTTACACATAAATACCTCTGATATCCCCACCAGCACAGAATGCCTTCTCCCCTGCTCCTTTAATGATCACTAGATCTGTTTCTGAGTCTTTGTCCCATTTCTACAAAACACAATGATTAAAACAGGTTAACAGTCAGAAATATTTATATGAAGTTGGTTTCCAGGTTTCCAGTTTCCCCTAACCTTGAGCTGAGGGTAGATGTGTCTGATCATGGTGAGATTCAGAGCATTGAGAGCTTTGGGTCTGTTTAGTGTGATGACTCCAGCGTTCCCAACTTTCTCAAACAGAACTTCAGACCCAGCTTTACTCGACATCTGAGATGAGACACAGTAATAAAACAATATTCAATGGAAGAAACATGTAGAATTAATACAATGTTGTTACGCTAAAATGTGTACAGTACACCACAAATCAAGGTTTACACATATTCTTTTATTTCATAAAAAAAAAAAAAATGTAGTTTTAATAATTTCAAGTATTTAAGCACAAGATATCAGGTGAAAAAAGGACAAGTTATTTCAAGCATTATATAAGAGACACCAGGCCAAAAGGTTTTTAGGGTCATAAAAAATTAAATGAAAAGGATCATACATTTGATTAAATGTGTCCATACTCTTGACTAACTGAAAAAAAAATTATACGAATACTTATCCCTGCTTAAAGCTCAAACTTACCATGTGTCCTTGTATTCTCTGCAATCTGCAGATTGGTCGTAATCTGTATGGGATAAAATAAATGATGGTTTAACTGTTATAAATATTGCTGGTAACAGATTATTTTGAAACTGAACATCAAATATACAGTAGATTATGATTATTTATTTATGTTTACACACACACACACACACACACACACACACACACGTCTGGTTTGCTATCCTTGTGGGGACTCTCCATAGGGGTAATGGTTTTTCTACTGTACAGACAGTATATTATATTGCCCTACACTAACCCTACCCCTTACAGGAAACTTTGTGCATTTTTAGATTTTCAAAAAACTTCATTCTGTGTGATTTATAAGCTTGTTTACCCATGGGGACCTCAATTTAGGTCCCCACCATGACACAAGTCCCCATGAGTCTGTGTGTATTCAGGTTTAAGTCCCCACCAGAATAGAAAAACAGGTATGTGTGACGTTTTGTTTGTAACATTTTGGTTAGAGAAAGGACAAAAAATGAAAGACAAAAAAATCACCAGGAATATTTCACACTAAATATAAAGTTATGATAGCAGTATGAGAAATCTGTTGTTTTATAAATGCGTTTAGTTCGGTATTGAAAAAATAAATGAATATAAATAATAAATTTGGTATTGAAAATGTATAGGAAAAAAAGAATTATAATTTTACAATTATAATTTTACAATAAAAACATGTTTTGTTTGAACGGATGTAAGTTGGAGGATGTACCAAAAAATCATAATAAATTTATTGGAAAAATTAAATTGGTCAAAAATGCTCCAACTAAATTATTGAATGTTTAATTTGTTCATCAAGTTCTTTGTGATAGCAGTCTGAGAAATCTGTTATTTTATGATAACAGAAAGAATATTTCATAGAAAATGTAATGAAAAATTTCTGTTTTTCTTTTTTAGGCAATAATGCTCAAAAGTCTGAATTGGAAGTATTGAAAGTTTGATTGATTAAACTTTATTATTAAATTGTTTGCACACACACACATAGGTTTGTTTTTATGGTTTATGGGGATTGGGTATTATTCAGCATTATAATTATATATATATATTTTTTTTAATTGCCATGATTACAATAATTCACGTTTAAACTAATATCATTACTGTAAGGTGTGAAAAGACTGTCTCTCAAACTAAAGCAATATTTATATATGCTTGATATAGTGCTGGAATAACACACACACACACACACACATTTAGTTTTACACATAATTTTACTATAAAAACGTTTTGTTTGTAACATTTTGGTTAGAGAAAGGACAAAAAATGAAAGACAAAAAAATCACCAGGAATATTTCACACTAAATATAAAGTTATGATAGCAGTATGAGAAATCTGTTGTTTTATAAATGCGTTTAGTTCGGTATTGAAAAAATAAATGAATATAAATAATAAATTTGGTATTGAAAATGTATAGGAAAAAAAGAATTATAATTTTACAATAAAAACATGTTTTGTTTGAACTTTTTTTAGTTGGAGGATGTACCAAAAAATCATAATAAATTTATTGGAAAAATTAAATTGGTCAAAAATGCTCCAACTAAATTATTGAATGTTTAATTTGTTCATCAAGTTCTTTGTGATAGCAGTCTGAGAAATCTGTTATTTTATGATAACAGAAAGAATATTTCATAGAAAATGTAATGAAAAATTTCTGTTTTTCTTTTTTAGGCAATAATGCTCAAAAGTCTGAATTGGAAGTATTGAAAGTTTGATTGATTAAACTTTATTATTAAATTGTTTGCACACACACACATAGGTTTGTTTTTATGGTTTATGGGGACTCTCCATAGGCGTAATGGTTTTTATACTGTGCAAACCGTATTTTCTATTGCCCTACACCAACCCTACCCCTAAACCTACCCTCACAGGAAACTTTCTGCATTTTTAGATTTTCAAAAAAACTCATTCTGAATTATTTATAAGCCTTTTGAATTACGGGGATGTCCTCATAAATCACCTTCTCGTTGTAATACCTATGCCATACCCATGCTATTATACAAATTTGTGTCCTCATAAACCACAAACATGCACACACACACAATTTTAAAATGTATTGCATAGTAGGGATGATCATGTTATTATTCTCAGATACCTCCTATATGATGTAAATCCACCCGAGGGCTTCAATCTTCGCCGAGATGTGTACATTCGCATGGCCTCTTTGCTGAAGACACTGAGGAAAGAGGGTGACTGGGTGCTAGTGCTGCCTCCATGGGGTCGCCTGTATCACTGGCAGAGCCCTGATATACATCAGGTTCGCATCCCGTGGGGGGAATTCTTCAGCATAACCAGCCTGCAGGCTAACATACCAGTCATTGAGTATGAGGAGTTTATTGCTGGTGAGCCATGCTGTTTTTGTGTGTTTGTTTGTTTGAGAGATTACAATCATATGTGATAAAATACTTCACCTATCCCGACAGTCTTGCATGACTGTCTAGTTAGTCATATACAATAATTTTCACTCGGAAATTGCTAGTAAATACCACAATTAAATACAAAGTAACACACTGACTTCAATTTTATAGTAGAAAGACTGAAATAGTATTTTCTTCTCAAACATGCTCCAGTAAACGTTTTTACAGTGTAGTATTTAAATATGAGTAGGAGCACTGCATTAAAAACAGTAAAAGCTGAGACTCAATTATGATTCCCATATTCTGTGTCTTTATTGCTGATCTCAGAGTCTGGGGGTCCCTTCATTGACCAGATCCTTGTGCTGCAGAGCTACGCAGAGGGCTGGACAAATGGGAAATGGGAGGAGAAGGTGGATGAACGACCTTGCATTGAAAAGCTAATGTACTCAAAAGACAAACAGGGATATTATAGGTAATGCTTTAAAACCACAGGTTCAGCCAGTTCAGGTGCTGTTGACAGACAGAATGTTTATGCAACATTTAAAGCCATGCATGAATAGTTGTTAAAGGAAATGTTCACACAAAAATAAAATATTTCAAAACATACTGTATGTATATATATATATATATTTCATTCCCACTCATGTCAATATATATACATACATACATACCTACATATACACACACACACACACACACACACATATATATATATATATATATATATAGTTTATTCCCACTCATGTCATTCCAAGCTGATACCCTGTTTTTATTTCTTTGGAAAAAAGTTTACATTTTGAAGGAGCTCTTTTACATATTTGTCAAGGTACAGTACCATTCAAAGGTTTGGGATCGGAAATAATTAAAACAATTTTTTTTTGAAAGAAGTCTCTTATGCGCATGAATTCAGCAGTGTCCCATGATCCTTCCCGAAACAATTCTAATATGCTGGTTTAGTGCTCAAGAAACATTTCCTTACTATTATTAAATGTTGAAAACAGCTGTGCTGATTAGTATTTTTGTTTATTATTTAATTATTTTCAGTATTTTTTTGATGAATAGAAAATCCAAAAGAACATACTGAAATACTTTTTCATAATATAATACTTTTGTTGTAACATTATAAAAGTCTTTACTGTCACTTTTGATGAAATAAATGCATCCTTGTTGAAAATTTCTTAAATAAAAACAAATATAATTATATAATATTATATATATAGTAGATATACAGTAGATATTATATATAATTATATTATATATTATAAATACCCCAACCCTTTGAATGGTAATGTTTGTCCATACAACTTATGCATGATATGTCTTCTGAAGCCAAACAATGGCTTTGTGAGCGAAACAAACTGAAATTTAAAGGGATAGTTTGTGTGATCATTTACTCACCTTCATGTTCTTTCAGTGTATGATTTTCTTTGTTCTGTTGAATGCAAAATAATATATTTTGAACTTTTGCCCATGCAAAAAAAGTCCAAACAAAACAACTTTCTTTCAAATATCTTCTTTTGTGTTGCACAGAAATAAGAAATGCTTAGGGAAAGAAATGCACTCCATTTCTGTAATGAAATCTTTTTTCTTTTTCTCCAGAGGTTGGTTTTGGGGTTATGAGGAGACCAGAGCATTGAATGTCACCTGTTTATCTGCTCAGGGACATGCCTCTATCTTGGCTCCTGTCTTACAAAATAACTTAACCGCCACGTAAGTCACTTTGGAAATAAGTTTGAATTCAAATAGCTTTTAAATGCAAATGGATTCCTATACATGTGCTGTCACTGAACCACAGGTCAGTAATGCTGGACAGAGCTGAAACTGTCCTCCATGATCACTATGCTGGGAAGGACTACTGGGATGTAAGTCCATAAATTAATATTCTCAAGATTTTTAAGTAATTTGCCTAAAAATATAGAAATAATTAGGTTTTTGTAAGATATCTCACCTATCTTATTTGATTGTTCTACAGACACGGCAAAGTATGGTGTTTGCCAAACACTTGCGTATCATAGGAGACGAGTTTAGGGCCAAGTATCTCAACTCCACAGACAAACAGGACCAGACACTGTACAACGAAGACTGGACCCGAATGAAAGTATGTTTCACTTGCATTAATTCTCTCCTCTCATTGTTCAAATACAGAAAGTACTGGTGTTATTGCTGCCAGCATAATAGATATACAGTAGTCAAACTGGTGTTTATGCAACAAGAAGAAGGATTTGAGCTTCGTCAGAGCATTTGTTCACATGTCAAGACAGTGCATTTCTGGAATGTTTGCCATGTGCTTTACACCCACGCACATTTCAGTGTCACAAAGCAGTCATATTTGTTGCGTGACCTTTTGTAAACTCTTGGACCCAGAACAGGCTGGGCAGTGCTAAGGGAGCCCCTTACCTGGGAGTCCACTTGCGTAGGAAGGACTTCATCTGGGGGCACAGAGAAGATGTGCCCAGCCTCAAAGGAGCAGTGAAGAAGATCCATAGTCTCATGAAGAAGCACAAGCTACAACAAGTCTTTGTTGCCACCGATGCAGACGGAGAAGGTACAGACACGATTAAAAAGACTGAAAAAAGTAAAACAACAATAATGCACAAATTATTTAAGCATTCATTAAGACCCTTTTTTTGGTTACAAAACATTCACAGAATAGAGGCCACACTACCCATCAATCAGCCATGTGCCATGTTTGACAGAATAGTTCATTTGAAAACATGTGAAACATTAATCTACGCCAGAGCACGTACACACCTCACGCACTGAATGCCATGCACCCTCAAAGCAGTTGGACATAGTGGTGTATTAGAGGTAAAATATGATATAAATACTGTTTGGTTTCTGGCACAAACTGATCGTTTCATGTCTTAGGACATCAATGTGTCGCCATGAGCCACAGGGTTTAATTTGGATTTGTCTGTGCATGTTTTTTTACTCTCATAGATTTTGTTCCCACGATGTGGGAAGATTTGCATAACGCCGCCCAAATGTTCACGCAAAGAAAGAAGGCGTAACTTTTATTCTCGCTGTAGTATTGTTGTTGCCGCCGCCATGTCGCAAAGGCGCTGTGTGTTTCTTTGTGAAAAGCGAAACTACTTTGTGTTTGGCCTTCCAAAAGTGCTGATCCGTGCTGGTCGCTGAGGAAATACATCAACTTCGCGCTGTGGATCGCCGGATCGGCTTTCACCGTGGACAAAGCAGAGTCCAGCCCGGGGTCGTCACATGTGGTTGCCGCAAGCCCACCGGCCTCTGCTCACTCTAGGCCTCCAGCCTCCGCTCACTCAAGGCCGCGGTGTATGACGCTGTTTCGTTGTGAAAGCGAAACTACTTTGTTTGGCCTTCCAAAAGAGGACACGACTAGAAATCAGTGGTTAAGTTGTATTTACTTACAACACTGTTCCAGAACAGTTCAACCCAAATATTCAGATGAAATATAGAAATAATTAGGTTTTTGTAAGATATCTCACCTATCTTATTTGATTGTTCTACAGACACGGCAAAGTATGGTGTTTGCCAAACACTTGCGTATCATAGGAGACGAGTTTAGGGCCAAGTATCTCAACTCCACAGACAAACAGGACCAGACACTGTACAACGAAGACTGGACCCGAATGAAAGTATGTTTCACTTGCATTAATTCTCTCCTCTCATTGTTCAAATACAGAAAGTACTGGTGTTATTGCTGCCAGCATAATAGATATACAGTAGTCAAACTGGTGTTTATGCAACAAGAAGAAGGATTTGAGCTTCGTCAGAGCATTTGTTCACATGTCAAGACAGTGCATTTCTGGAATGTTTGCCATGTGCTTTACACCCACGCACATTTCAGTGTCACAAAGCAGTCATATTTGTTGCGTGACCTTTTGTAAACTCTTGGACCCAGAACAGGCTGGGCAGTGCTAAGGGAGCCCCTTACCTGGGAGTCCACTTGCGTAGGAAGGACTTCATCTGGGGGCACAGAGAAGATGTGCCCAGCCTCAAAGGAGCAGTGAAGAAGATCCATAGTCTCATGAAGAAGCACAAGCTACAACAAGTCTTTGTTGCCACCGATGCAGACGGAGAAGGTACAGACACGATTAAAAAGACTGAAAAAAGTAAAACAACAATAATGCACAAATTATTTAAGCATTCATTAAGACCCTTTTTTTGGTTACAAAACATTCACAGAATAGAGGCCACACTACCCATCAATCAGCCATGTGCCATGTTTGACAGAATAGTTCATTTGAAAACATGTGAAACATTAATCTACGCCAGAGCACGTACACACCTCACGCACTGAATGCCATGCACCCTCAAAGCAGTTGGACATAGTGGTGTATTAGAGGTAAAATATGATATAAATACTGTTTGGTTTCTGGCACAAACTGATCGTTTCATGTCTTAGGACATCAATGTGTCGCCATGAGCCACAGGGTTTAATTTGGATTTGTCTGTGCATGTTTTTTTACTCTCATAGATTTTGTTCCCACGATGTGGGAAGATTTGCATAACGCCGCCCAAATGTTCACGCAAAGAAAGAAGGCGTAACTTTTATTCTCGCTGTAGTATTGTTGTTGCCGCCGCCATGTCGCAAAGGCGCTGTGTGTTTCTTTGTGAAAAGCGAAACTACTTTGTGTTTGGCCTTCCAAAAGTGCTGATCCGTGCTGGTCGCTGAGGAAATACATCAACTTCGCGCTGTGGATCGCCGGATCGGCTTTCA